AACGCTTTCTTACTTTTCCAAAAACTTTGAATCCTCTAGAAGGAACTATAGTTGATCCTTTAACTGGTGGTGTTTGTAACACTGATACAATTTGAGGAGTTCTAGTTATTATTGTGGCTCTTTTGAATAAATTGCTTAAAAAATTCATTCTGAAACACAGAAAATAAAAATATTTTAAATATACATTATATTATGTATTTTATACATTGAAAAATAGGTATATAAAACTGTTTATAATTAAAATACTGAGTCGTCATCATTAACCAACCTGGATTCCTTGTTGACAATYTGCAGATTGTGAAGATTGAAGTACAAAGTAAAGAAATTGTCGAGCGATTCAAGCCAGCCCTGGACAACAATTTACATTCTTATCAATGTTTTTTTATTCTTTATCATAAATTAATATCATTGGAATATGTTGACTTAAAAAAATTGTGGAATAAAAGATAGTGACTTTTTCCATTATCAATTTATCATATTGAATGTATGTTATAAACAATATAAACTTAAATTTTAAATTTTAAATTATCTAGTAAATTTAAACTATTTCTTGGTACACCGTACTATTATAGTACTAATTTAATATAATCTAAAAAAAAAAAAATGTATGTATTTAATGTTTGAGTTTTAAAAACTTACTTGAAATATATAGTAAGGACCTAAAATCCAGAGTTCAAATATTTGTTTTAAAAACATTCAAATTTCAAGTGTTAATTGTGAAAAGTGAGTTGTTATTCTATTTATATTGTCATTATCATCTAATTTAAATGTATCCAAATAATTTTTAATTTTAGAAACTATTATATAAGTATAATGAAAATTGCCATTGAAGGCTGTGCTCATGGAGAGCTTCAGCAAATATATAATACAATAGGTTTGATTGAAAAACGTGATAACATAAAAGTAGATTTGCTAATATGCTGTGGCGATTTTCAAGCAACCCGAAATACTGAAGATCTTTTAGCAATGGCAGTACCACTTAAATATAGACAGATGTGCTCTTTTCACAAGTTAGAATTGAGATTAAATTATTTTGAAAACAAATTAAAATATTTAAATTGTTTACAGATATTATTCCGGAGAATTAGTGGMGCCAATTTTAACTATATTTATTGGTGGAAACCATGAAGCTTCCAACCATTTACAAGAGTTAAGCTATGGTGGCTGGGCAGCACCCAATATATACTATATGGGGTTGGCTGGTGTAATAAATGTTGGTGGCATTCGAATTGGAGGATTATCTGGCATTTACAAATCTAATGATTATATGCGAGGTAGATTTGAAAAGCAACCGTACACTGAACAAACAAAAAGAAGTATATATCATATTCGGCAATTGGAAATATTTCGTTTAAAACAAGTAATTATTAAATTTTATTTTTTTTACACAAGTAAATTAAATATGCTTTAAAATGCCTTAAAACAAATACGTTTATGCATTTTTATAGCTGCGACAACCAATTGACATAATGTTATCACATGATTGGCCTCAAGGAATAGAAAATTATGGAAATTTACAACAATTACTTAAATACAAACCTTTTTTTGAGTAAGCACAAAGTTTAATAAAATATTTTTTAATCATGATTCAAAAAAAAAAACAAATTTATGTTATTCATAAGTCATGACATAATAACATGTATTGTTTTAGAACAGATATTAATGAAGGGAAATTGGGTAGTAAACCTACAAGAGAATTGTTAGATGAATTAAAACCCAAATACTGGTTTTCTGCTCATCTTCATTGTAAATTTGCCGCCATAGTTAACCATACATCAGACAATAATGTAACTATATTTCTAGCAATAATAATTGTATACCATTTTTTTAAAAATATATTGCATGCACATAGGCGTGTGCAGACTTCAATTTCCAGTCGAACTTAGAACAATTTTAGTGCCTTAATACTTGAACAGTGCTCCTCTTTATTTTTTTAACACATCAGTATTATAAACCTATAAATTAGTTTATTGGTGATAGGTCTATGATCAGTATACATTCTAATATTAGTATTAGTATTTAGTATTATTCTAATATTAAACAACTGTGTTATTTATATTCACTAGAATTTAAATAATAATAATAATAAAATATTGAGTCATAATATTTTACAGTACTATGTACATTAAAAATCTAAATACAGTAGACGCCGCTTATAAGACTCACTTTGGGACCAGCACAAAGTGAGTCTTATAACCGAATGAACCTTA